ATATTCGTTTTTGATTTTCTGTTGGGGGGAGTGAAGTCAGGCTGCTTCTATTCTGACATTTTGGTGAGCTGCTTTTACTTTTAAATATGTGTTTTTTTTCTAATTAACAAAGTAAAATTTGACTATTTTAGAAAATGTGATGATTACAGACAAAAAAGAAATCTCCCAAAGCTTACACATTAAAGCATCAGCTTTATTCAGACTTGGCATATTTTCTTTCTTTCTTTTGTATGTGCGTGGATGTCTGTATATACTTAGTTGAAGTCTTTACCCTTCAGTTGAAATCCATATACTTTAGAATTATACACATAACATGTATAATTCTAAATCCTGAATTTTTACCTTGAGCATTTTCACATAGTCAAAATTAGTCAGAAACACACTTTTTAATGCTGGCATATCACTACATTATACAGGGACATCATACATTATTTAACATTGTAATTATTTAACTAGACACATACTGTAAGAATACTAAAATAAGTTATTTCCAATTTTTTCACTATTAAAAAGAACACTGTCAGGAACTGCTATGCACACACATCTCTATTTTTGGTGATTATCTGAAGACAGAGATGTAACTTAAGGATGAAGAATATAAATATCTTAACCATCCTGTGGCAACTTGCCAACTGGCTTTCAGAAAGGCTGAGTCCATTTAACTCCCTGTGTTAAGAATGAGCATCTCATCACCGCCTTGCCAATAATTATAATTTTAAAAACTGTTAATATTCTCCTAATAAGACAGACACCACTTACCCCATTTCACTAATTCTAAGATGCACATTTTTCATAGTTTAGCATATCTGAAATTAGGGATGGATGTATATTACAATCAAGGTTGTGTTTTGGCTTATTTGGCAGCATTTTTTTCTTAATGGTAACTAAAAATAATGATGCATCTTACAATTGATGATATCTTAGATTCAACGAAATTACAGTAGAATCTCATGTAATTTTTATTTTGTATTTTTGACCACTAGGTAAGAGCCATGATTTATACAGAACCATTTCAGTATACATTTCAACGTGCCAGTGAATTTTTTAAAACAAATTTAATTGTGGTAAAAGAACATAATATAAAATATACCAGTCTAACTATTTTTCAGTGTGCCTTTAAGTAGTGTTAACTATATTCACATTATTGTGCAACAGATGTCTAGAACTTTTTCATCTTGAAAATGGAAACTCTGTATCCGTTAAGCAACAACTCCCCTTTTCTCCTTCCCCAGCCCCTGGCAACCACCACCTATTTTCTGCCTTCACGGGTTTGACTACTTTAGATAGTGCATATAGGTGAAACCATACAGTATTTGTCTTTTTGTGACTAGCTTATTTCACTTAGCATAATGTCATCCATGTTGCAGCACGTGTCAGAATTTCCTTCTCTTTTATAGCTGAATAATATTCCACCCAGTGAATTTCTAAATCATAAAAATTTTTAACAACTTGCAGAAACTGCTGACCCATTGGATTCTGACAGCACACCTAAACAACTAAAAAGTAAAGGACAGGGCTGGGTCCCAAGGGGTTCCAATTTCCAAAAACAAATGTTGGCTTATTTTTGAAACACAAAGATCAAACAGAAATCAAGAATGTAGGTGATAAAATCAAGATATTTTTGAAATCATATCTGCTCTTTTGGTGTTATTTCCTGTTTTTTAGGGCATAAGCTTGGATATCACAATTTGAGAGTTTACAAACACAGATATGGTAAGACCATGCCCCTCCACTAGGAAACTAAGCAGTTCCAAGTTTCTGGAACATGGACTTGAATTCTTTCCTCAAGCAAAATAATTATGTGCGAACAACAAAGGCCATGTGGAGAGGCCACGACTGCAGGTGGAGCAATGCATGACGAGGGGCCAGAGTAAAATGTAAACTATTCTAAAACTAAACGAACTTGCCGTGTCATTTAGAACGTGCCATTATAAAACTGATGAAAATTACAGGGCAATATCCTGAAAATTCAACTAAATTATATTTTAGTTATACTTAATACCACTGGCAAAATCTTTTAATTTATTTTAAATCCTAAAATCCCCCAAAAGAAAATTGAATATTTATACAAGAAGACTTAATTAAAATATGGCTTAAATGGTTAGGTTTATGGTTGATCACAGAACAAAAGGATTTAAAGTATCAACCACATAGTGGTGACCACTTTATTTATTTTCCCTGAAAGTGAGAAGAGGAAGGCAGTATTAGAAATTAACACTGAAACCTAAAAACAAAGAAGATTAGAAAGAAAACCATATCCTCACATTGGTTAAAATGTTGTATTTGTTTTACTCCCTACGTTATTCTCTGACATTTCTACTGTGTCTACTGTTATAGACAGAAAAGAAAAGAATCCCAATTTTTGTCTTACCTGAAGTACATATTTGTTAAGTACATAGAATTGGAAAAACGTATTTCAAATGGAGTATTATTTGATTAAGGTACAATTTTAAAAGCTACAAATTACTTAAGTCATGATTCATGTCTTTTCACCCTCTGACATAATTTTGAACATGCATTTTATCTGTAATTTTTTAGACATAAAACACATGTTTATTGCAGAAAGATGGAAGACTAAGCAAAAATTAAAAAATAGAATCATGGTGTTCATATTTTACATTTCCCAAAATATGTAGAAACTCTAAAACATCACCTCTAAAGATACATAATGGGATATTTTAAGTATTTCTGGGCACCAATTTCTTACAATTCTAAAAATATACTAATATGAATATCTATATATTGTATACTTTGCTCATATTCTTGGCTTTTTTTTTTTTTTTTTTTGAGCAAAGAAATTCCAAGGGTTGGCACTACTGGGAAAGAAGGTGTGTTTGTAATGAGACAAACTGAACTTAGAAAGGTGGGCAATTAAACCCTCAGTGGCAGTCCCTGGGATTGTACTTGCCACTGGGTCCTTACCCAAACTGAGTCATCCTTACTGGGTCTCTTTTCTTTTGTTAGCATGGATTTTTAAAAGCGATTTAAGTTTCCTTATGGGCACTGTGCTGCACGGGGAGACTCCCCCTTCTCAGCCCTCATTCCTTGGTGCCTGCTTCCCGGCCGCCCGACCTGCATCATGATCTGAGGGTTCTTTCTGCCTTCTTTAGCGCCCTCCCTTTATTCCTTACAGACACTCTCCTACTAAATCTCTTGTGTGCCTAATTCCACCATGGCCTCTGCTCTCACAGGACCCAAACTAACAGAGGCACTTTGAAGATCTTTTCAGCATTTGCTGCATGGTTGTTTTATTTAGGTTTTTTCTCCTTTGGTCAGTTTTGCTATTCATACTTCCCTAGACAGTTTTCTCTGTTCAATATTTTCTATTTTATGATCATAATTGTTCATGACATCACCTAATAGTTTTTAACTTGCTAGTGCCTGTGGTCATTGTATACTGCATATATGACCACATATATGTCATATATATGTATGTGTATATATATGTAATGTGTTTGTAAATATACATATACACATATATACATATTTGTCATACATTTGTATTTTCTTTTCTTCTTTTCTTGATTAGTCTCACCAGGGCTCTGTATGTTATTAGCATTTTCAAAGACCGAGTCATTGTTTATCAATGTTCCTGTTTCGACATTTTTACCTGGGCACTGGATAGGGGGTATCAAGCCAAGTAGCTCACCAGAACACACCTTAGGTCAATGCTGGAACAAGTCCCAAACATGCTTTCTTTTCTTTTTAAAATTACAATGTCCTTTAATGAAAACTGAGCAGGTCAACAAAGCCCCACTAGGACTGACTGGTCCCCTTCTCTGGTCATAATGAGCTTTGCAAAGAACTGGCTTCAGGTGGTTTGACAGCTGCCTCCAAGTGCTAAAGGGATTGTCATGTGAAAGGGAAAGAGGACACATTCCAAGCTACTGCAGGGGACAGAGCCCAGCCTGGCAGTGGGATCTGCAGGGAGGCCAACTGCAGTTTAATGAAAGAGAATGGGCTCCTGTGGGAGGCAGAGGTTCTGTTTTCAGGAGGGGCTCGGGCAGAGGACAAGTCAGCCTTCCTCAGATGCCATGCACTCGATGAGGCAAAGCATGCAGAAAAATCTTTAGCAGCGACAGACTCTAAGATGGTCCCAGTGACCCCGCCTCCTGGTCCTCTTCCCTCATGTAATCCCCTCCCCTTGAGTGTGGGTGGCCCCTATACCTTGCTTCTAACCAATATGATAGGGTGAAGGTAATGGGATGCCACTTCTGTGATCATTTGCATAAGATTCTGAGCAGCCCCTCTCTCCCTGCTGGCTTAGACGAAGGCAGCTGCCATATGGAGAAGCCCACATGGCATGGAGCTGGGGGCTGCCTCCAGCTAACAGCTGGCATGAACTGTGGCCCAGGATCTGATGCCCTACAGGGAAGAGAATCTTGCCAGCAACCACACAAGCTTGGAAGCAGGCCCTTCCACAGTTGATCCTCAGATGAGACCTCAGCCCTGGCTGACACCTTGACTGCAGCCTTGTGAGATCCTGAGCGGAGGACCTAGTTAAGGGGTACCCAGATTCCTGGTCCTCAGAAACTGTGAGACAACAAATTGGTGTTTTAAGCTACTAAGTTTGTGGTAACATTGTTACGTGACAATAGATAACTAATCCATCTTTCCAACTCTATGATTCAGTAATCACCAGCACAAAAAAAAAAAAAAAAAGGCCTGCTGTATCAATGCAAACCTACTGTCATGACTGTCCATACTAATATAGTGGTGTGCACTGCTGACATCAGACAGGAATAGCAGATTATGACAGTTCCTAGCCTGTTTCCACATCTATAGCATTCCGCATCTTGCAAAGAAATATGTAAATGGATATAACTCTGATCTCTTCAGATCTCCCTGAGCAGGTTTCTGTACCATATGGGTAACTCCATTCCATTAAATCATATATTTTTCTTTCCTTTCTTCCCTCAAAAACTCTCTAAAGAAGACACAGTCTCACATATTCTACTGTCTTTAAGAAAACCAGATGCTATCTCTTAAAAAAAACTTACCATACCCAGGAAGATCATCTCCTCTTCTCTCAGTTTTTCAGTTTTCTTACATTGATGGAAACGTCGCCAAACCTAAAAACAAATAAACGGTTACTTGTTTAATACACACAAATATAAAGAAAACATGGTTTGCAGTTTCTCCTATATAAACTGCACATCTCAAAATGCCAACTAATCCTAAGCTCTAGGTTGTCCATGCGTGTGTTGACAGAATATTTTTTCTTCTGTGATCACAGGCAAAAAAATTATTAAAAAGAATGAACCATAGAACTGACCTATAATTGTTATTAGTGAGATTCCTTTACCTTGGTTTCAAGAGGAACTTCTAGGTAGGAGGAACATGAGGCTAGATCTAAGGAGGCACTTCATGGTTTTAAAGGAAAAATTTCCAAAGTAACGTGGGGAAATATAGTAACCTCCAAGAACTGTACAACTCAAGCTTTTAACTCAGATGCTAAAACTTTAAATATTCCCACAGAAACCTGAAAGAAATCAGTCTTTTATCCATCCTACCCTACCACCTTCTCCTATTCCTATTCAGGGAAAATTAGGGACAAAGAGTCCTCATCTTCTGGCCTAATTTTATGTCCTTATACTTATTTTCTCTGAAACCTAATGCTAGTTTGTATCACATTGCCATCTGCTGCATTTCCCTGTAAGTAACCCTAGCCTCTATTTGAAAAAAAAAAAAAAATGGGGCACAAATCCATGGTGCTTATCTGATAAGGAAAGGAAACCTTACGGATTCCTTCCAGAAGGGACACTGATGTACTGGTTATTAGTGATGGCTGCTGCATGTTTCTGGAAGCTATTAAGGCCTGCTCCCCCTTCTGTAATTATATATCTGTGTGTGAATGTATTCCAAAAATCCATTAAGGATTTATATCCTCACTGCATTTCAGCAACATTCATTTCAACAATTACCAATGGTCTTTAACAATATTTGAATAAAATGCCCTGAGTTTAATACCTATTTAGAGTAAAAATTTGAAAATATGACCAAGCTTAGGTAATGGTTTCCCCAGGGTAAGTTAATAAATCTTTCTGGAATGTAATCCAGTTCTATAAGGGTAGGATTCGGGGTTTGAGTTTTGAAGCTCAGCCCCGAAGTTGGGATGCATCTTTAGTGTATAAGACACCCTGTACCCCCAACTCCAGGAGCTCTAGGTTTGCACCTTCTGAATGCAGAGTGCAGCAGCCCAGGTATCTGTCACTTTCTTGCCAAGCGTCTTGGATTGCTTTGCTCTGTATTCTTGCAGATAGATTTGCTTCATGAATAACGCCCTTAGGCGACCTTGCCGTGCCCTCTCAGCAATCTGGATTAATTTAACAGCCTGGTCGAAAGGCATACTCTTTACAGGGAATTTCTGCAAACAACAGTTAAGAGAAACCAATGTTTGAACATGTTAACCACATCAATTGATCCCAGACACATCACACACTTACTTCAAACACAATCCTGCTAAGAGTCCCCACGGTCGATGACAAGTGTGAGAACCACTGAACACTGTTCATTTTTCCAGTGAATGATGTATATTTCGATAACATGCCATACTCATGCAGTGATCCCAAATTTAAGGACCTCATGACTTTCCTTTATCCTTCTGCACAAAATACTAATTAGCTCCATGGATATTTTAGGTTGGCAGCAAATTCTACTAAAAATGCCAATAAAATTGATGCAGTAAAACTTGAAATTGCTATCAATATTTCATTAACTTAAGAGGAGAAACACAGAAATGGAAAACATACCTCTAATATGAGCTTTTAAAATTTAAAATATACATGAAGTAAAATGCTGATCTTAAAATCAATTACAGAATGACCCAGTGAATACGACTGATAACAAAATCATTTTTGGGGCATTGAATTTTAGATATGAAAAGTCTTCCAGTGTCTATAAACTTGCACCTTGAAACATTCAAACATGATGAGTACTAGCAAAACAGAAAAATCAGGGCTGGTAAGTAAAATGTTTTGGGACATCTCATATGGTGTACGTGGAGACAAAGTTAAGCGAGGGGCTGTGCCATTTTTTGAGGAAAGAGGGACAAGAACAAAGGACTCTAGGTGCATGCTGGGGCCTGTGTGGGAACTGGGTGCAGGTGAGGCCTGGATGGGCTCCGGGTGCAGGTGAGGCCTGTGCGGGCTCTGGGTGCAGGTGAGGCCTGTGCGGGCTCTGGGTGCATGCTGGGGCCTGTGTGGGCTCCGGGTGCATGCTGGGGCCTCTGCGGGCTCTGGGTGCAGGTGAGGCCTGTGTGGGCTCCGGGTGCATGCTGGGGCCTGTGTGGGCTCTGGGTGCAGGTGAGGCCTGTGTGGGCTCTGGGTGCATGCTGGGGACTGTGTGGGCTCCGGGTGCATGCCGGGGCCTCTGTGGGCTCTGGGTACAGGTGAGGCCTGTGCGGGCTCTGGGTGCAGGTGAGGCCTGTGCGGGCTCTGGGTGCAGGTGAGGCCTGTGCGGGCTCCGGGTGCATGCCGGGGCCTCTGTGGGCTCTGGGTACAGGTGAGGCCTGTGTGGGCTCCGGGTGCATGCTGGGGCCTGTGTGGGCTCCGGGTGCAGGTGAGGCCTGTGCGGGCTCCGGGTGCATGCTGGGGCCTGTGTGGGCTCCGGGTGCAAGTGAGGCCTGTGTGAGCTCCGAGTGCATGCTGGGGCCTGTGTGGGCTCTGGGTGCATGCCGGGGCTTCTGTGAGCTCTGGGTGCAGCTGAGGCCTGTGTGAACTCTGAGCAGGCTCATCAGGAGGCCCCAGTGCTGTTCCAGAGGCCCCACAGCAAGGGAAGAGCGGCTCACGTGGCCTGGCTCGGGGGATGTCCATACATGGATGGAAGCAGAAGGGACAGATCACTGGAGTGAGAAAAGCAGCAAAGAGGCCAGGCACAGTGGCTCACACCTGTAATCCCAGCACTTTGGGATGCCGAGGTGGGAGGATTACTTGAGTCCAGGAATTTAAGACCAGGCTAGGCAAAGGGGTGAGACCCCATCTCCACAAAAAAAAATTTTTTAATTAGTGGAGTGTGGTGGGACACTTCTGCAGTCCCAGCTACTTGGGAAGCTGGGGCGAGAGGATCACCTGAGCCCAGAAACTGGAGGCTGCAATGAGCTATGATCATGCCACTGCACTGTGTCTTGGGCAATAGAGTAAGATTCTGTCTCTAAAAAGAATTTAAAAATACATTTAAAAAGAAAAGCACCAAAGCATAGGTGAAGCCTGTTTCCAGGCCTCAGAGGGCAGCAATGGTTGCCACAGCAGGACAAGGTGAAGGTGCTGAGGCCTCATGAGTGGGGTGCTGTCACCAGGGCCACTGCTGCCAGGATGATCCCTCCTCTGTGTAACAAGGCCAGGGTCGGGGGCACAGGAAGGAGTGAGAAGGAGAGGAAAGGTACACATATACTGAGAACCTGTAGATGTCAGACGCTTTTTGTATGCATGCTCATCATATTCACAAGAGCAAACTCCAAGGCCGGTATTACTATGACCACTTAAGACTGAAGAAAACTGAAGATCAAAGAAGTAAGGCAACTTATGTAAGGTCCCATGGGTAAGACAAGGAGCCAATTTGAACAGACTGACCCTCTTTCCACTAAGCCACCCACTACCCTTCAACATGGCACGAGGAATATGGTTGCTTATGAGGAAGCTCTTTCACATAACAATCCCTCTGAGTTTTCTTTTCAGTAAGATCTCACTGCTTCAAATTTGCAGTGAGCACACATTTTCAATAATGCACTTGTCAAGTCAGAGTAGAATGAGTTTCATTCTGGCATTAAATGAGATGATGAACTTAACATATGGTACCCAGCAAACATGAGTTAGTATTGTACTTCTTTCCTTGAGATTCCGGGCTGTCATTCTGAAAATAGTCGTGGCCATTATCAAATAATTCTAAGGGATTTTGAGTAGGGAACTCAACACGTCAAACATTTTTAAGCATTTAAGGAGGCCCACAGTGGATATTAATGTAGGAGATGGACAATAATTTTCATGCATCAAAATTCTTCTTGGGTTATATATTGTGTGTGTGTATATATATATAATATTCTTCTTGGGGTATATATTGTATATAAGCAGCTTAAAGAAAGGGGTCTTGTGAGACATCAAAGGCCATGGGGAAGTAGCAGCAGGGAAGTCCTTGTGGTTTTCTGAGCCCCTGGCACATGTGAAATGAGACTGGGGTGGAGATGAACTGCTTAACCCAATGGAGGTGATAGGAGCTGGCCAAAGCTGGATGCTGAAGGAACAAAGAAGCCTGACTACTGTGACCGAGAACAAATGAAGAGGAACAGTGAGCAGAAAATGGCAAAGAGGAATTTTTAGGATTTCACTGTAGTGAGAGCATTGTAATCTCCCTTCTCCATTTTCCAACACAAAATCTTGAGTAATTCTGCAGTGCTCATCACTGCTTGGTGCAAAGGGATTCCTTTGGGGGGAACTAAATGCAGTGTGAGTGCTTCGCCCTGACTCATGCATGGACAGAAAGCACAGACACAGGAGCCCAGTGGTGAAAGGATGGCTAGTTGACCCCCAAGTAAGTTGGCTTTGGAATGGACTTCAAGGAATGCATAATGTAAAAGAAGGGCCAGTAGCTGGGAGCAAGGGCACAGGAAGGAGAGGTCATCTTGAGTTCAATGGCTGCTATGGTTTAAATGTGTCCCACAAAGTTCGTGTGCTAGGAACTTAGTCCCCAGTGCAACGGTGTTGGGATGTGGGACTTTTAAGAGGTGATAAGGTTATGAGGCCTCTCTCCTCAAAATGAATTAATACTGTTATCCAGGGAATAGCTTCCTGCTAAAAGGATAAGCTCACCCCCTCGCTTCCTGCTCTCTTACTATGTGATTCCTTCTGCCATGTTATGACACTGCAAGAAGGCCCTTACCAGATGCAACTCCTCAGTACTGGACTTCCAAGCCTCCAGAACCATAAGCAAAACAAACTTCTGTTGTCTTTAAATTACCCAGTCTGTGGTATTCTGTTACACCAACACAAAATGGACTAAGCCAGTATGTCAGGAAAGGTTTCTTGAAGGATGGTGTATCAAGCTAGGCTCTGCAGAATGGGGACCATTTTGATGAGCAGGTACGTAAGGGAGAAGAACAAGTCCTCTATCCAGCATGGAACATGCCTATGGAAAATGAGAGACAGCACTGGGCTGGCAAATACAGGGCATGCATTTCACCTGTCTTCTGAGGCAGGCACATAGGGCACTTTTTTCTCTTGCCATCCTCAGCATACACTTGGAATCTTCCTTAACACCAACACCCAGGCTGGCAATACCCAATGAGGGCTATTTGTAGAAAGACTGCAGGTGCTGGTTTACCCTGGGATCCTGGCCTGCAGCTGCAGCCTCAGCATAGTTAGTCACAGTGCCTCTTTCACCCTGGAGTGTCCCAGCTTGAATGGACAAGTGCTGCCTTACTGCTTAGGCCATGAAGGCCAGCCAGAGGGGCGAGGCGGTAAGTTAGTGAAATGTACAGGCAGACCTGACAGAAGGTAGATAGGACAGTGCCCTGTGGAAAGGGTGGGAAGAAGACTCCCCACCAGTAGGCTGCATGGCGGATGATTACAAGAATCCAAGAGGTGGTCATGAGAGTCAGGACTAAGACATCTGTGGAAACAGGAAAAAGATGCAGCTGCAAAAATCCTGGGGACAAAAGAGGTATCGGGGCACAGAACTAAACGGATTTTGCTCCTTGCTTCCCAGGAGGGATCTTTATGGATTATTCTTCCCCCAATGACAGTGCATTCAAGATGATCTAAGTGTCACTCAATGTATTAGTCCGTTTTCACACTGCTGATAAAGACTTACCTGAGACTGGGCAATTTACAAAAGAAAGAGGTTTAATGGACTCACAGTTCTATGTGGCTGGGAAGGCCTCACGATCATGGCAGAAGGTGAAAGGCACATGTCATACGGTGGCAGACAAGAGAGTTTGTGCAGGGAAACTCCCCTTTATAAAACCATCAGCTCTTGTGAGATTTACTCACTATCACGAGAATGGCACAGGAAAGACACACCTCCATGATTCAATTTCCTCCCACCAGGTTCCTCCCACAACACATGGGAATTGCAGGAGTTACAGTTCAAGATGAGATTTGGGTGGGGACACTGCCAAACCGTATCCACTCAGCCTGCAGTTATAAAAGGCCAATCAACATTTTTAGAAAGTGTAGTAACTTTCAAGTTCCTAGTAAGTTATGTTAGCACTTAATTATTTTACATGAATAACATTTAGCTTCTAGCTTCAGCTAGATGAATTTGAGATGAAACATTAGACTGAGTTGATAATCAACAGATACTGATACAAGTAGCAAAACATACATTTTGATCTCGATTTCTAAGCTCTTGAAAAATAATGATTATATATCACCAAAAGCATGTCCAAAAGTTATGCAACTTCTTATGCACTGTATAACAAGGAGGGAGGGATTATCCTTTCCTTAAACTGAAAATAACCTAAGCGTTGCTCACATAATTAGGAGCAGCAGAAAAAGGAAGTTACACAGATTATGGATTAATGTTTGTTAAAATGATATACAAACCATTTCAGATGTATCTATTCCGCTGTCGGCTAATATCTGAGCAAGAATTTTCTCTCTTCCTTTTATTACTTCCAACTTCTCCTTCAAAAAATACTTGGGTATGGGAATATCTAATTGTTGCTAGAGAAGAGAAAGAACAAAAAAAGAGCATTTCTGTCACAATTCCAGGACTCGAACTTTATTTAAAATATACAGTAAGGATGTGCACATCAAAGACGCTTGCTTTACTTCCCGTTTTCATTTAAGGAAAAAAATGAGGCCAGCAGAGTGAAGAGAATTCACTCACTAAAGAGACACAAAGTCAAAAAGAAAATCATAACCATGCCCCTTGCTTTAATCATTACAGAAAAGCATCAGGAGTTCATGTCAATTAGGCCTCAATTAACTAATGATTACTTAATGGATTTCTTTAAAGAAATACAATATTACCTCGTTTTACCTAAAATAATGGTTCAAATTGGAGTAGTAGAGTATTAAGCTGTAGAGATCTCTGAACTAAACCTAATAATTTACCATTACCACCATCGACTATTTGTATGTAAATGGTCACATTTTTCTCTAATAATTTGGTTTTATTTTTACCAAAATTACCCCATTGCAAAAATTATTTACAAAAGTAGTTTGCTTTATTATGAAACTGGTTTTTATATAAAAAACTTCTATCCTTCATTTGTGCATATTACCAAATATTTCAAACTAGCGGGGGGTCAGATGAAAATTTACCAGTCCAAATTGAGTGAAAAGGAGTACAGAAGTGCTCTTTAAGGATAAGGGTATGCCCTTGGCCAATCCCACTGAGAAACACTATCCTAGAATTTCTGTCAGACCTGTTTGGCTGTTTTGACAGGGAAGCAAAGGTCTTTGTCTTCAGAACTGGCTACCTTATTTTTTTTCCAATTCCAGGTGTGACTTCCCATAACCTCCCTCCAGCCCAGAGAATTTTGGATAGGCCTTCCCCTAAATAAACGTTTAAGCCTAAGAGGGTATCATTTTTAGGACTTGGTGGGACAGTATCCCCATGGCTTCTGGGAGGTGACAATGACTTTTGAACACGAAACCTTTCTGAGGCTCATGGAGGGCTGGGGGTGACTGGAGAGTGAACTAGCGGAGTCCAGTGGGTGGGTGTGGCCTGAGGAGAGAGGGCAGTCGGAGAAGAATGATGACATTTTGATTTAATGTGATTTTTATTTATTAATAAGCACATTCAAGTGTGGTACTTTTATAACTTTGAAGACAAAACCTCATTGTCTTATAGCTCCATCTGGTCCATTTGGTACCACAAAATTATAGTTAGCCAGCCAGGCATGGTGGCTCATGCCTGTAATCCCAGCACTTGGGGAGGCTGAAGCAGGTGGATGACCTGAGGTCAGGAGTTTGAGACCAGCCTGGTCAACATGGTGAAACCCCGTCTCTACTAAAAATACAAAAATTGGCTGGGTGTGGTGGCACGCGCCTGTAATCCCAGCTACTTGGGAGGCTGAGGCAGGAGAATTGCTTGAACCCAGGAGGCGGAGGTTGCAGTGAGCTGAGCTCACACCATTGCACTCCAGCCTGGGCAACAACAGCAAAACTCCATCTAAAAAAATATTATACTTAGGATTTTGAGGATGAGAAAACAGAGTCACTGATAATGGAAGAGAAGCAAAGAAAGATATTAGTTGCTCCATCTTCGTCCATGATGCGTTTCATGTCCATCCTGAAACCTTGAGGCTTCTCATTCCCTATGCAGTGGAATCCAGGAAACTTCGGTGGTAGAGAAAGGCTCTTTCCCGCATATATTTCCCTCTATGAGGTGGGCCCATTAGGAAAGCTTCCCCACGTGGCAGGTTACAAACAGTCTTCGGACTAAGGGGCAGTTTAAGGAAGGATTTGGGGAACTCATGGAACCAAGGGCAGGAACCCAGCTGGGTGTTTGTCAGTCCTGGGGATGTGGCCAAGAATGAAGGTGCCTTCAGCCTATCCCAACCATGTGGGATTCAGTGACAGCACATGGTTCAGTCACTATTTCCACGACTGCGAGGAAACACTGTGGACCGCCCCCTGCACGAAGGCCTCCTGGATGCCATCTGCTCGTTTGTCACTCCTCTTAGTGCTTGGTGGCCCCATCCCCACAGCAACAGTGGCATGGCCTTTAGGAAGATGATGTCCCTGGAGCAGAGGGGCTGGCTGATGCGGCAGGAAAGGCAAGGCCGTGGAGGGGCTGCCACACACAGCCCTAAACGCACTATTCCTCAACAACAGGGGCGTGACTTCCTGTTCTTGAAACTCAACTAATAAATGTAATATTACTTCATTGGTTAAATTTAGGAATATTTATTACTTCATTAATTAAATTTAGGAACATGTATTACTTCACTAATTAAATTTAGGAATATGATTTAATAACTATTTGTTTCACAGTTATCCTAAATTGTTCATATTGTCACTTTAGTGAGTAAAGTGCACCAGATCAAATCTGGTGATCGGCCCATGCTCTTATAGATGAATGCAATAAGCATAAAACTTTTGGAATAATCGTCAACATCTTCATTCATTTCAGTTATTCTCATTATTCCATTCTGATAAATAATAATGTGAGGAAAGCCTATCTCAGAAAGATACCTTTATAAAAGCCCAAATATTTTCAAGGAGAAGAAACATGAAACACTCATGTAGAAAATTAAAGACTTTCTCCTTTTGATTTTACTTCAAGGGAATGTTCCTTTCAAAATGAAGGTGCGCTCCCAGGACCACGACACTGACGGGAGGTGGCCAGTGGCCCCGGCAGCCCAGCCAGCCTGAGTCAGAAGAGAGGCCCTGTGCCCGGCAGGAACGTCAGAGGGCGGCAGGGGCCGAATGCTTGCAGAAGGGGGGTGTGGTTGCCAGGTGCCAGCAGGGAGGGCTCCAGGGAGAGAGGGAAGGAGGGGAAGAGAGGCAGAGGGAAGGAGGGGAAGAGAGGCAGAGTCAAGGAGGGAGAGCAAGCACATGAACTCTCCTTTGACGCTGAGGCCCACTGCCATGTAAGCCATACATTCCCCTGGGTCACCACTGTCCCAAAGTAAGGAGGAGATGCATCCACCTGGCAATAGGGAACCTGTGACCAACAGGCTACAGAGAGATTCCCATGGAAACAGAGGAGCGGGCGCTGCTACTGGATGCTGGGAGGGTCTGTGCTTCAAGGGTGCTGATGAAACGGCTGGCCCACTGCATTCCAACAGCCTTGTGCAGACACCACGGTGTCAGGTAAGACCACGGCCACTGCACTGCCTAACACAGCCAAGAAGTGTGCAGATGCGTCTGCACCAGAAACAAAGAGAACCCAATCCTTGTCCACGACAGCATGGTATAATTAAAGGGAAATGTTTAGATTTTCCACACACCAACTAGTAAACATGAACAGGAAGTCTGTAGGGTACTGGGTACAGGGCTACATATCCTATTTATAACAAAAAGCAACTAATAAGAAAACAACAGACTGCTTACGGGAGCCAGCTTTAGATCCTGCAGGATATCATCGAAATAATGGAACTCCGTGAGTTCCAGCTCCACCATCTCGTTCTTCAGCTCCAGGATGCGGCCCATCACCCCGTCCAGGACTTTCCTGATCAGTATTCGTTTCTGGGGATGGACGATCTGGTCGTAGACATTCTCCAGGTTTCTGAAGATCTGCACATACTTTATGTAGAAGGTGGCCAACGTTTGAAAGATGAAAACCTGATTTCTTTGTGGTTCAACCATCTTCTGAGGCTCTTTATCGAGTAAAGCACCGAGGGCTTCTTGGGTCTGATGCCACATCTTATTATACATTCTGGGGGAAGATAAGGAATTTAGATGACACAGTAAATAAAAATCACTTGGTAAAACATAAACATCGGGCCTCTGGTATAGCAAAATATAACACCGAATCAAGTGTGAGCTAAGAATATCGTTACACAGTAGAAAGGCTTGTTAGACAATTTATATCCTGTTCTGATGTCCTTGTGATTTCTGAATACGTGCCACCACTATTATCATCAAATAAAGTTTTAAAAGCATTTTGTCTAAATGATATAAAGTTTTTCCTCACTTCGCCCATAACGCCACTATTATTATACACTTAAAAGAGGACAGAGTTGATATCCAGAATAGTTAACTGATTTGTCCACATACACAGCTGGTGAAGTATCCATTGAAACGACCACTTTGGAAAGCAATGTAGCATTTTCTTATTAAGTTGAATGTGTGCATACCCTATGAATGGATAATTATACCCTAGAGAAACTTGTAAATATGCATCAAGAATGATCACTTGCATTTTTTAAATAATAGTAAAAACCTGGAGATAACACAAACGTCCACCAATAAGACAGTGGATAAATACATTGTAGTAAATTCACCAATGGACTATCACACAGCAGTGAAAAATGAATGAAGTACAGCAAAAGGCAACCACTAAGAATCTTAGAACCATAATGTACAGTGTAAGAAATGAGGTGTAGGCCGGGCGTGGTGGCTCACGCCTGTAATCCCAGCACTTTGGGAGGTCGAGGCGGGTGGATCATGAGGTCAGGAGATTGAGATCATCCTGGCCAACCCATCTCTACTAAAATACAAAAAAAAGGTAGCCAGGCGTAGTGGCGCCCGCCTGTAGTCCCAGTTACTCGAGAGGCTGAGGCAGGGGAATCGCTTGAACCTGGGAGGTAGAGTTTGCAGTGAGCCAAAATCATGCTGCTGCACTCCAGCCTGGTGAAAGAGTGAGACTCTGTCTTAAAAAAAAAAAAAAAAAGAGAGAAGCGAGGTGCGGTGCAGACTGTGGCCCGGGAGGCTGAGCTCTATGGAATGCACCAGCTAGGCTCTCTGCCCTCATTCTAGTGAGTTGAGTTAGTGGATTGAACAGAGAGGAAGCCAGAGAGCAGAGGAGTATGACCCTCTTGTCCACACCCTGGCGAGGCAACAAAGGCTGGGTGTGCCCTTCCACCAAAGCCTTAGGGTGGTGGTGGCTCTGTTGTGGCTGGCTGGCCCCAGAATACTGCCCCATCCCTTACCAGTTTCCCTAGACTATGTCCACCTCTTTGTTACTGGTCTCTGTATTAGGCCCTCATGAGTGTCCCCACTTTTTCTGCCAGGGACAATACATTCATGGTAGAGATTCCCACCTTCCCTTACCAAATTTCAGGTGATTTTTTGATTCTGCTTTTATGTTCAAGAACCAGGACTGAAAAGTGAACTGGAAAGTCAGTGTGTCTGGGAAGGAGCTTCACTGTAGAAAGTGGGTGTGGAGAGCCCTGATGACTGATGAAGGAGAAACCCAAAAATGTCAGTATCTCTCTGTAAGGTCTTTCCCTACGCTAACGGAGGTGGGGGGGGGGCAGCCCTAATCCCCTGAAGGAGAAGCAAGTCGAACAAGGGGGCTCACCTCTTCTTTACTGTCAGCCAAGCCACTCATTCCCACGCTTACCTGTGCCTGGCGTCCTGAGTCCAGGTTGGCTGCATGTGCCAACTTCTGCCTGGTTGGCTAGTGACTTGGCCACCTGATCTCTGGGGTGTACAAGTGATTGGCAGCCTAAATGTGGCCTATACAGATCTGCAAGCAGTCCTCCAATTTCAGCCCCATCCCAGAAGAACCATGCCCCCCGTCAGTCTTCCCAGGAAAACAGCTGGCTTTTGATCACCCCAGCCCCATCTGCTGGCTTTCAGGTCCCACATTCTTCGCCCTTCCTCCATTCCCTCTCATCCATGCCTGCTCTCCCTTTCCCACATTTTCTTTTTTTTCTTTTGAGACAGAGTCTCAATCTGTCACCCAGCCCTGAGTGAGTGGCATAATCTTGGCTCACTGCAACCTCCGCCTCCCGGGTTCAAGCAATTCTCCTGCCTCAGCCTCCTGAGTAGCTGGGACTACAGGCGTGTGCCACCACATCAGGCTAATTTAGTAGAGATGAGGTTTCACCACACTGGCCAGGTTGGTCTCGAACTCCTGACCTCAAGTGATCCACCTGCCCTGGCCTCCCAAAGTGTTGGGATTACAGACGTGAGCCACTGTGCCTGGCCTCCTGCACTTTCTTGGTATCTCTTGTCAAATGTTTTCTTTGTCCTTGTGAGTTCATAGCTTTAAATCCTTTATTGCCATTTTGGAGGCAATTCAGGAGGAAGAGGAGATAAGTACCCATGGTTAGCCACCCTGTTTGACTGGGAATCTCTCTTCTACATTCCTAAGGTCATTATTAAGCATCCCCTCCAGGTACCCTCTGCCCCAGGCTCACCATCTGCCATTTCTCAAACATGCTCCATTCTTCCCTAAACACTAAGCATCATTTGTTGAAGCACTGATTATACGTGCTTTTTCCACCTTTCTGGCCAAAAAGTAAAAGCATATCTTGATGTCTGCAAGATTTTTGGGTTCAGATGATGATGATGATGATGATGATGATGATGATGATAATGATGATGACGATGGTGACGGTAATAGCTTACATTTATATACTGTGAGTCACTGTCCTAAGTGGTTTCCATGTAATAACTCATGTAATCCTCACAACAACCCTATGAGGTAGGCATAATTATTAGCGCAGTATACATATGAGAAAACTGAGGCAAAGAGAAGTTACTGCCCAAAGTCACACAGTTGGAATGCAGGATATACATGTAGGCAGTCTGGCTCCAGAGTTCACCCTCTAAACCACCTGACTTCATCGCTTCCCATTTGTCAGGGAGAAAGTAGATGAGGAAGCAGGGGTCCCGTGACACAGAGGTAATTACATCACAAGCAAACAGATTGAGCATAAAAACCAAAACTCTTTCCCCCAACACCCCACTGAGTCAGGACACTGAATTCTGCCTTTAGAATCCCATCCCCAGCATGTTTGAATGCCAGATTTCTCAAAACTCAGTAATATTTAAAATATTGCTAGTGAAAGGGCACTCTTCCAGACCAGCTTATCATAAGAAAGAAGGTTATTATCAGAAAATTAGAATTCCACTTGGCACAGTGTATTAGTCCATTCTCTCACTGCTATACAGAAATACCTGAGACTGGGTAATTTATTTATTTATTTATTTTGAGACGGAGTTTCGCTCTTGTTGCCCAGGCTGGAGTGCAATGGCGTGATCTCAGCTCATTGTAACCTCCGCCTCCCAGGCTCAAGTGATTCTCCTGCCTCAGCCTCCCGAGTAGCTGGGCAGGCATGCACCATCATGCCCAGCTAATTTTGTATTTTTAGTTGGTCACGCTGGTCTTGAACTCCCAACCTCAGGTGATCTGCCCACCTCGGTCTCCCAAAGTGCTGGGATTACAGGCATGAGCCACCACGCCTGGCGAGACTGGGTAATTTATAAAGAAAAGAGGTTTAATTGGCTCACAGTTCCATAGGCTGTCCAGGAAGCATGGCAGCATCTGTGTCTGGGGTGGCCTCGGGGAGCTTTTCCTCATGGTGGAGGCAAAGTGGGAGCAGGCATCTCACATGGCGGGAGCATGAGCAAGAGGAAAGCAGGAAAGTGCCACACACTTTTAAACAAGCAGTTATCCTGATAACTCACTATCACGAGAATGGCACAAAAGGGGAAATCCACCCCCATGATCCAATCACCTCCCACCAGACCCCGCCTCCAGCATTGGGGATGACAATTTGACAGAAGAGTTGGGTGGGGACACAAATCCAAACCATATCACACAGAACACACATTGACTCCTGGCAGAATTAGTGACTAATAAACAAGTACATTGACCAGGAACAACAACAACCATCGCTCAAAACAATAACAACAAAAGCGAAACCTCATGCCAGTTCAAAGCTCCTGAGACCCTCTGACATTCTGCTTGCCCCACCTCAAACAGACAAGCAGGAGGGGCTGGAAGAAGCAAAGATGACAGATGATCAAGGGAACGGTTTGGCTGTGCACAATGATCAAGACCCGCAGCTTGGCACGATGTGAGTTTTCCAAGTCCAGACTTCCAGGACCCGAGAAGTGACAGTAAACCCAAGGCACTCACAGGCCTGAGTGAAGACACGGGCTGAACATACTAACAGGTGTGACAACTGTTGGCATAAAATATAGAGCAATGCTCAAGTTGCTTTGCGGACTTAACAGGGTTTGGGGCCCAAACCTGCCAGGACAACATTCTTCAAGAGGAAAATTACAGGCTAATTTTGTTTAGAACTCAGATCTGAAATTCCACTTAAAAAACAGAGCACAGCTCCAGATCAAAAGAATTGTTGCCTCTAACCCAGGAGGGGTGATTGCGGGAGTGCTTTTCAGTTCAGCACAGAGGAAAGCATAACTCCAGACAGCAACGGACCAGTAAAAACCCCAGCTTGTTTCACAGATACCAAGAAGATGCTCAGTAAATTGTAACTTGCAACACAGGCCTGATTAAAAATGCCATCCCCCTACACCAGGAAAAAAATAATGACAACTTATTCAAAGTGCCAAAAACCAGTGATCCAATGGACCTTCAGTGGAGAAACGCTAGAAAGATGCCCTCAAAATTAGCAGTAAAAAAGGACAAGGGAGATACTTAAGTAATATAAACCATTTTTTTTAACACCATTGCTTATAAATGGCATGACTGCAAAATCCAAGGAAATCAGTAACAAAAATACATCAACTAGTACAGCAAAGGCCAGGCGTGGTGGCTCACGGCTGTAATCCCAGCACTGGGTGGCTGAGGTGGATGGATCACTTGAGGTCAGGAGTTCTAGACCAGCCTGGTCAACATGATAAAAACCCATCTCTACTAAAAATACAAAAAGTAGCCGGGCATGGTGGCAGTCGCCTATAATCCCAGCTACTTGGGAGGCTGAGACAGGAGAATTGCTTGAACCCGGAGGCAGAGGTTGCAGTGAGCCAAGATCTCACCACTGCACTCAAGCCAAAAAAAAAAAATTACAGCAAAATTGCAGTACTTTAATGCAGAGAAAAAAAATGAAAGAAGAAACCCATTCACAGCACCAACAAAGAACATTAAATATTTAAGAATTCACATGGTGGGAGCCACATGAAATCTAGCTAAAGGAAATTCTAGAATGCTGGGTACAGATCAGCACAAGCAGAAGGCACTATCTGCCCCTGTCCAAAGAGGCAAACCCTATCTCTACCAAAAACACAAAAATTAGCCGGGTATGGTGGCGTGCACCTGTAATCCCAGCTACTCGGGACGTTGAGACAGGAGACTCACTTGAACCCGGGAGGCGGAGGTGCAGTGAGCCAAGACCACACCACTGCATTCCAGCCTGGGCAACAGTGCGAGACTCCATCTCAAAAAAAGAAAAGAAAGGCTTTAAAGACAGAAGACTCCTGAGACATACATACAGATTTAATATGGCCAAGAATTCAGTAACAATAGACTAAAGACTATAAATAAGTCTAGCAATAATGTTTAAATATGGGAGCGGAACAGGCAGTAAAAGTTAAAAGGCATCTTACACTTCCAACACTGGCCACACCAACAAGCATTAAGTTTGTACAATACCCTAAAGAGGCTGCCTCCATGAAGTTCAGGTGGGGTGACCTGAACTCCACAAAGATGCAAAGTCAACAATAGCAAGAGATATTGGGTTGAAGAGGCTCCTGCTTCCACCAGGGGAAACCACGGCCGACCTGATGGGGCAGAGCACAGCCAGACTTTCTGGATGTCTGGACCTGCTGTGGGCTCCCACCCAGGGGAGCCCAGTCGCTCAGGGTCAGAGCCCTCACTGGCTTCAGTCAGGTCAGAGAAGCAGGACTTTTCCAGGGCCTCACAGATCTGACCCATAACTGGAATTTTTGGCCAAAGACAGTCCTGGTAGCTTCAGCCTTCTGGGTCCTGCAATTTCTTTCTTCCCCATCTGCAGTCTGTCTGGGGATCCCTGTCTGGAGAGACCAGGCAAAGATTCCTGGCTGACAGGAAAATGTTTGGCAGCTTTGAAAGCACACGGATCCCTGCCTCATTACCTGTTTTCCTCAGTGCCGAGACATGGCGTCATCTCCTTCCACCAGACCCTCTTCCCTGGAAACTGCTTCTGGCTTCCTGCTCCCCAGCTGTCCCGATACCTCTCCATGGGACCACACCCCCTCACGCGTCGGACCGCCAGGGACCTGGACACCATGCCTCGGCCACACCATCCTGGGGAGCCCCCACTTTGCACTCAGTCCATCTGGCCTTGCACCCCACCTCCTCACCCTGCAGCTTCAGCCTCCTTCTGCCTGAGCCCAGTCATGAAGGTCAAATGAGACAAAAGAGGCAGCAAGATGATTTTTCATAAGAGCATTGGTGAGATAATTCACACAGCATAGAATTCACTCTTTTCAAGTGTACAATTCAGTGGTTTTTAGCATAGAGTTGTGCAACCACTACCATTATCTAACTCCAGAACATTTTCATCACTGGGAAAGAAACTTACACCCGTGAAGCAGTCACTCCCCATTCCCCATTCCTCCCCGCCTTTGGCAACCACTAACCTAATTTCCAGCTCTATTTGCCTATTCTGTACATTTCACAGAAGTGGAATCACACAAGAGGGGGCTTCAGTGCTGAGCTCCTTTCCCTCGGTGCGGTGTCCTCAAAGTTCATCCACACTGTCACGTACTTCATACTTCATTTCTTTTCATTGCCAAGTTTCCTTAGTACGGATACACTATATTCTGTTTATCCATTTGTCAGCCCATGGACACCTGAGTCGTCTCCACCTTTTTTGCTGCTCTGAATAACGCTGCTAGAAGCATTCCTGCATGAGTTTCTGCATGGACATATGTCTTTATTTTCCCCGGATATGGCAAGGTGGTTTTCAAAGGTAAAAGTGCTCTACATTTAAAATAGAAACCAGTGTGCTGAGCAGCTCATCCCTGGAGGTCACTCAACCTCTTCATGCTTACGCCTCCTCCACTGGCAAACCTGGATGATGAGACCAACTCTGGACACCTCAGGGACTACTGTGGGATGGTGATATGGTGTGGCCGTGTCCCCACCCAAATCTCATCTTAAATTGTAGTTCCCATAATCCCCAGGTGTTGTAAGAGGGACCCAGTGGGAGGTAATTGAATTACGGACACAGCTACCTCCATGCTGTTCTCATGATAGTGAGTTCTCACAAGATCTGATGGTTTTATCAGGGGCTTTTCCCCCCGCTTTGCTCTGCACTTCTCCTTGCTGCTGCCATGTGAAGAAGGGCGTGTTTGACTTCACCTTCCATCATGACTGTAAGTTTCCTAAGGACTTCGCAGTCCTGCAGAACTGCTAGTCAATTAAACCTCTTTCCTCTGTTCCAGCGTGAGAACAGACTAATACAGGTGGAATAACAGGTGTGAAAGTGTTCCGGGAATTTTAAATGCACCTTGCAAACAGAAGGTAGTATTTTACCCATAAGACTACTTAACAGTTTTTAAAAGTATATGATTGGTTTCAGAGTTGAGCATATGACTTAGAGATATGACAGACTTTGAAGTCAGGAGGATTATGGATGGAGAAGACTGAATATAACAGTTAAAAAGACCAGACTGTTAATTCTACAGCTTAGCAGTTTTCCTATAACGGAGTGGGTTGGGGAGGGAAACACTTGCATATTCAGACATACTATGCACGTCCGCGGGAAATCAAAATATTGCAAAATGGGAATTCTTTCCATGTAATTTTGCACATGATAAAACCTTCTGAATCTTCCAATCTTAACTAGTTTGCTGTCTTCTTCCCTGAATACTCCCCCTGTCGTCTTGCTCTATGGAAGGCCTGGCTCTGCTCGGAAGCTCTCGCAGTAGAGGCTCCTGTTCCCCCCCAGAGCCCTCTGTTTCTGGCTGTGGGGCTGGGTCAAGGGGACCCCTTCTTTTCACTGCACCTCCAGATATCTGCATTCCCTCCTCCCAACACTCCCTGGCTTTGAATTCCACTTCATCTGATGCTGTCACCACTGCCCCTCAGTCACCATCATCTTCCATCTACCATGATCATTCCAGGCCACCTCCAGGGCACCTACCCACTGAATAGCATCTTGACGCTGCCTTCCCACCTGTTCCATTGCTAAGTGCCGAGTTCCTCTACCTAAGGCCAGTACCCCCTGGATCCCATGTCCTCTCACTACCAACGATGTCACCCACTTCTCCCTCCTCCTCCTATATCATTCTGGGCCATTCCCTTCCACACACAAACATTCTATCGTGTTCTGTCTTGGAGCCATGTGCTCTGCCTCTAGCTGCCAACACATTTCCTTTCCTTTGCAGCAAAACTCCTTTAAAGAGTTAGCTATGTTCACCGTCTACAGTTTCTCTCCCTCCTACATTCACTTGAGTAAGTCTTTCTATCCCATCACACCACTGAATCAGCTCCTGTCAAGGTCACTGCTGAACTCCACACTGCCAAATCAACAGTCAGTTCTCAGTTCTACCCCAACTTGTCTCAGGAGCACTTGACGGAGGAGAAAGAAGTTACTTCTCCTGGAAACACTATTACTTCTTTCACTTGCTTCTTCCTCACGGATCATGTCTTTGATCCCTTTGCTGGGTCTCCTCTTCTCTCTGCCTTACTGTGGATGATCCCAGGCTGGGATAATAATAAACCTCTTCTTTATTAATATTCATTCTATGTCTCACAAAGACCATCACAGGCTGACAGCGAGCAAGTTTATATTTCAGACATGGGTCTTGCTCCTGAACCCAAGATCTGAATATTTTAACTGGCTATTTCATCTCCACGTCATGTCCAATGGGCACTTCCAACTCAATAGGTCTTAAACAGAACTCTTGATCCTCCCCACTCCCAAACCCTGGCAAGCCTTTAACCTCTCCGCTCTTACTTCCTTGCCTAGAAAAATAGGGAGTGTAATAGCAACAGTGCAGGCTGGAGCTACAGTGCCTGCCTTGGCACTGTTTACTTGCTGTGTGAGCTACTTCACCTCTTCATACCCAAGTTCCCTCATTTGTAAAATGGAAATAACAGTATCAACAGCCCGTACATTACAGGGTTGCTGTGAAGCAGTTAGAACAGTGTCCACAGGGTCAGCCCTGTACTACCTGTTTGAAATTATTCTTATGAAGACCAAATGAGGTAACTTTGTGCAAGTGCTGTGTAAACGACACAGTGCTAGGCACACACTCCTTTCAGTATCACTGCCACTCGAGGTGGTGAAAAGCAAATGACAATAACGCTTTCCCAAGATCTTTCTAGACTTAAATTTCAGGACCTAGGTGTTTTCACAAAGCAACGTATTTACTACTGTGAAAGATTAACAAAAAAAAAAACCCCAGACAAAATGGCTTATCAGCAATAGCCCCTAAGGGCTTGGCGGGTATAAGGAAGACCGGGAGCTCATCCCCATGGGGTGGTGGGATGCGTGGGGGAGGGGGAGATCTACGCGTATGATCTTCCTTGCTCGCAAGAAGCAGATATTCTATCCCGAGGCATATATGAATTTCCTAAAAGGAAAAAAAGTGGGAGAGAGGAGGGAAGTTGAGAGGCGAGGGGAGGAGAAAAGAAAAGAAAAAAGAAAATAAGAGAAGCAGAAAGCAAGCCACCTTCTGGCTTGGGGAAGCCCACCCCATAGCTGTGGCTGGGAGCACATCACTTACGTGTTCGACATTGCTGGCTACTTTCCCTCTTTTCCTCGCCCTCCGGGAAGCTCTTCCGTTGCTCTCTGAAGGACGGTGGCAGCAGGGGTCAGGGCACTACCAGGAGCTACAGAGGACTGGGAGAGGGGCTTCTGGAAGGAGAAACCAGGACTGCGATAATCTCTCGCTTCGGGCAGGAAAAGCCGAGGCCGGGTTTGCGTCGCAGGCACGGAGCGCGCAGGCGCAGAGAGGGTGCTTCGCTCCTTCCCGTCGGGACCCAGAGACTCGCGAACCTCACTTCGGCCACTCAGGTGGGCGCGACGCGGCCCTAGCAACGGGAACGCCGCGCCTGCGCATTGCCTTCCGCCTGTCCCCTGCGCGCTCCGCGCCTGCGCCACCGCCTCCTGTTGCTGCGGGAACGGCGCGGAAGGCCTGGATGGGCGCAGCGGCGGTAGCCTGTCGGAGTTCCAACCCTCCGTCGCGGGGCCGGGCCGCCTGGCGAGCCTGCTCTGGGCCCCAGTCCCTGGCCCGTGGTCCTCCAGGCCGTCTTCCCGCTTTCCGGCTGGCCCCATTTTCATCCACCGTCAGCTCTGCAGCCTTGGGCAAGGCCCTTAATGATGGTGGTCTTCAGTTTTTCCATCTGTAAAGTGGATATAACAGTCGTTCGTTCAGAACTTTACTGGGCACCTATTCTGGGCCAAGTGCAGACTTAGATTCTGGGGACTCAAGACTTACGCAGACGCCCCCTTCGGAGACTTAATGAGTATGAACCAAGGCGCGGGTGCGTTGTCAATGTAAAATGCAGTGTGGATGTTATCAACAGTTATCCGTAAGTTGTTATGAGTGTTGGCTTTCATTGCTCTTCTTTCTTCGCCTTTAGTAACTGTTGAGGTTTATTTGCACATTTTAGGCTCTGCAGTTCCTATTGGAACACCAGGTTTAATGCTGTCAAAGGCGTGGAGCGGACATCCAGGTAAAAAATGATAATCAGGATAAAAAACCTCTCCCCCACCATTACTAATGAAATGCACGAAAGCGTAGTAAAAGCCAGCCCTCTGCACCCCCTTAAAATAATGGAGCAAATTATTTCTCAGACGAGAAATTAAGTACAACTTTGTACCGTAAACTTTAAAAGCTCTTTGAAATAGCTGCGTGCAGTGGAGAATGGTGTCCAGCCTCATCTCCACTCTCCCAAAGCCCTTCGGGGGAAGAGACCAAGTAGACACAACACCAAGAATCTCATTAATGCTTTTTGATACAAAGAAGACACAAACTGAAAAGAAGGGAGATGAAAGGGTGAGCAGAACGAGCAAACGCCTGGGGAAATCCTGCCAGATAAAACCATCCTGAGTGGAGGTTAATCCCTGCCACCCCCAGGACCTGAGCAAGGACAGGAGAAATCGCCAGGGTTTGCCATTTTCTAGGTCCCTACATTGAATTGAGGCAAAGATTCAAAGTCAGAGGGCATTTTGTCACAGGAATAGAGCACACTCGTGACAAGAGTGGGAGGATGGTGGCAAAGGAGCTTATCAAAATCTCAGAAGAGAGCAGAGCCCGGAAGTTGTGTGGATTCAGGGGAGCGGCCCTTATCCTCAGTGTGTACTCAGGCTCCAGAAAAGCAGAGAGAAGTGCAGTATCTCAGCTCTGGAACTCAGATACAGTGAAAAGACAGTCAAAGAGGATTCGCCCACATTATGTTTGAACAAATAGAACATTTTCAAAGAGCAACACGTGTTAAGTAGGAATAAGAAAGAAAGAAGCAGCATATCCACTATCTAAAACCAAGACTTTCATAAAAGTAGAAGAAAGGATTATAACATAGGCCAGGCAAGTCAAAGAAAGAAAGTATGGAGAAAATGTAACCAAATAAATAAAAGCAGAAAAATCTTGGTTTTGTTTGTTTAGTTTAGTTTTTTTTTTTTTTTTTTTTTGAGACGGAGTCTCCTTCTGTTACCCAGGCTGGAGTGCAGTGTGTGATCTCAGCTCACGGCAACCTCTACCTCCCGGGTTCAATCTATTCTCCTGCCTCAGCCTTCCGAGTAGCTGGGATTACGGGTGCCCGTCACCACGCCTAGCTAATTTTTGTATTTTTAGTAGAGGCAGGGTTTCCCCATGTTGGCCAGGCTGGTCTCGAACTCCTGACCTCAGGAGATCTGCCCGCCTCGGCCTCCCAAAGTTCTGGGATTACAGATGTGAGCCACCGCGCCCTGCTAAAGCAGGAAAATCTTTACACGTGTTCCATGTTATAGAATAAGCTAATAAGAACATTAAGGTAATAAAATAAGAACTGGGAGAAAATATAAAACAACAGAATGAAAAAGGAAAGAAGATTACACAGCTAAGGAAACCAAAAGAAAAACAGAAGTAGTCCAATACAGAAAATAGTTAGAAAAACCAAGAAATAGACCAGGCACAATTCAGCTGAATTACTGACTTAGAGGGAAAACCTGACTCACTTACAGTAAATGTAGAGAGGAAAGAGTGAGAGACACTTGAGCAATTTACAAAAAGGGTTAGTTGATATTCCTGAAAGAAAGACCTTCAACATTAGACTATTTTCAGAGATACAAGAAATGTTTTTGAAATAAAAGAATTAAATCTGTAGATCAGAAATTCTCACTGTGTTCCAGGGAAAACTAATATACAACACCCAGCATCAGGAGATGTCCTGGATACATTATTGAACTTCAAAGAGAAATGGCAGGAGAAATCTGGCTAGCCTCAGATCTCAATGTCAGATGAAAACGAAGCAATATTTACAAAGTTCTTGGGAAAAAGTGTGACCCAAGCATATTTCTACTCATTCAAGTTAATAGTCCCAATATGAAAGCCCTCAGGAGATAGAGCGCTCATGTACAGATTGATGTGTTAACAAATGCAAATAACAGAAACCCAGTGAGCACTGGCTTAAACAATAAGATTTTAAATCTCCCTTAACACCAAGAATAGAGGTGATGGCTCATGATCTCAGTGGCTCAGTGACATCATCAAGGATCAGTCTTCAATGATCTTTCCGTCTTTTGGAGCTATTATAGTAACCATGCGAAATGACTTTCTTTGTGGTCATAAAATGCCTGTCGCAGCTCTAGGTCTTATATCCTCACACTGTGACATCCCAAGATAGAAAAAGAACCAGCAGAGAAATATGATACACATTGCCCTTTTAGAGTAATGAGGATTTACCTGCATTAAGAGGTAGAGAGGTAGATGAAAGAACCCAATCAGAACTCTGTGAGCACAGAAGAAGGCAGGATTGGCTCTATGTAGGCACCATTCAATATGGGCCACCCATGAACTCTTCTAGCAAATAAATTACTTGATGATGAAATACAAGCAAAAGTTACAAATTAGGTGAAAAGGGTTAGCATAATACCCAATATGAGAAGACAGTGGAACAAGGTCCCTCAATTCTGCAAGAGAACAAATATAGTTTCTCTGTGATCATACCCTATGAGCTTTGCCAATTGCTGCACTTGTTGACCTCTTGTTCTCTGCCAGGAAGTATTTAGGACGTGACATAGATCATTTATTAAATCTCATTAACTTTGTGAGATAGGTAATATTTTCATCCCCCTCCCCCACTTTTTTTTTTTTTTTTTTTTTGAGATGGAGTTTTGCTCTTGTTGCCCAGGCTGGAGTGCAGTGGTGCAATCTTAGCTCACTGCAACCTCCACTTCCCGGGTTCAAGTGATTCTCCTGCCTCAGCCTCCTGAGTAGCTGGGATTACAGGTACCCACCACCATACACAGCTAAAAAAAATGGGTTTTCTGTGAGACAAATGTTACTAAAAACTGGTTCTCATAACAGCCCATCCTTTAGGAAAAATCATTGCTACCTAGGTACATGGATACAGTAGAAAAAGTTACTTTATCCTCAGCATTTAATAATTCATACAGCCTCAGATCCAGACTGCCAGGTCTCTGGGGAAATCAGTCTTCTCAGTCTTCTTGGTACATGTGACATTTGGGCAAATATTTATTGATGCTTGTTCTGTGAAAAACACAATACTCAACACCATGCAATAGAAAAAAGTTGGCTCTGATACGAAGAATTCTGCTTGCAGGAGTGGAGGAGAGGAGAGGGGATCATTCAGGAGAACACAGGCATCATCATCACATGTGCATTTTCTTGTGGGATAATAGGCTGGGAAGGGCTGTTCCAGGTTGGTCGTCAGATCTGCTTCCTTCAGGTGCGTCCAGTCCCCAGTACCCTGCCACCTCCTAAGCATCCCTTCTCTGCCAACACACTTGCAGTGAGAGGGACGCCTGACGCTCTAGGAAGCCCATTCTGGTTTCAGAAAACTCTCACCATTGCTCATTGGTTTTACATTGATGCTCCAGGGAGAAACAGAACAATCCAATCCCTCTTTTTTTTTTTTTGAGATGGAGTCTCGCTCTTGTTGCCCAGGCTGGAGTGCAATGGCACAATCTTGGCTCACCACGACCTCCGCCTGCTGAGTTCTAGCGATTCTCCTGCCTCAGCCTCCTGAGTAGATAGGATTGCAGGCATATGCCACCACGCCTGGCTAATTTTTTGGTATTTTTAGTAGAGATGAGGTTTCTCCATGTTTGTTAGGCTGGTCTCAAACTCCCAACCTCAGGTGATCCACCCGCTTTGGCCTCCCAAAGTGCTGGGATTACAGGCATGAGCCACCGTGTCTGGCCTCCAATCCCTCTTTTTTGGGAGCAGTCTTTGAAAAGTTTAAGCCCATGTCCACCTGTCCACCTGCACACCCCACCCCTCATCAAAGTCCTCTTGGTTACAGGGTAAGTGCCCTCAGCTTTTTCTGCATTACAAGATTTTTAAGTTCTCCTTCTCTCTGTAATGCTGTTAACACAACTTAGCATCCTTCAGCATAAACCAATGAAACAAAAGCTGCTAGTGGGAGGTGGTAGGCATTTCATCAACTAGCAAAAGGGGCCCTTCCTTGAGTCTCCACACCTTAGATCCATTGTAGGGCGGCCACGCCACACTGTTGACTCATGACGCCCATAGTCCGCTAACCCCACAAATCTGCCTACAGTGTCTCCTGTTGAATGTCTCCTCTGTTTTTCAGTGTGTTCACCATCCTATCCAGTTCCATGGCACCCCTCAAATGATCCATGCTATTGATAAACATGTTCTCTATGACAAAGCCGGGAACCCCATAGCACAGCACCAGAAATGAGCTCAAGTTAGCATCAAACCACAAGTTCTAAACCTGCCAGCCATGCTGTCATCATGTGGCTTATATTTCTCCTTGCCCTCAACAATTCCATGTGGTAAGGATTGTCAAATGCACAGTAATATGCAGCTATATCCTATC